CCATGTGTTTATATTCAGATTGATTGACAGGTCCATGTGTTTATATTAAGATAACACACACAGATTCCGACACCTTCAGTGTGTGTTTCAGCTGCTGAGGCTGAATTTGATCAGAGATCTCTCTGCATGAGCGCATGAACTGTACATGACCTGCTACCTGAGACTCCCCACCAACAACATTCTTTGTCTTCTGTCCCAGAGGAGCAGGTATTGTCCAAAATAAAATGGAGCATTTTGCATTTGTTTCTTTTTCTTGTTGTTCTGAACCCAAATCAATCCAGTACTAAGAAATAACGATACACTCCTGAGTGACACATATATAAACAAACATATAAATAAATACACAGAAGACAGATAGAGACACAAGGACATCCATTCAAATTATTTTAAAGTGTTTGTGTCCAAGTGTGTCCACACTGCTGGTACCTGAGGGCGGCGACAACTGGACCCTGTTTGGTTGAAGGAAACACCTGGTGCAGGTAGTCGCTCAGCAGCTTCTCATTAACGATACCTGAGAGACAAAGAGACGGACGTTTACCCGAGTGTTTATAACAGAATGGACAGTCTGTTAGGAATCTGTCTGAGACACCTATATTAACCACCTGAGACCTTCTTACAGACTGCCTAAGACCTGAGACCTCATTACAGGTCTCCCAACAAACCACTTAAAACCTTAGACCTCATTACAGGCTACCTGAGACCTTTCTATAGACCATTTACAACCCAAAACCTCACCACAGACCAGCTGAGACCTCCCAACAGACAAACTAAGACCAGCGATACCCTTGCAGACAAGATGAGACCACCATACAAACCACCTAAGACCTGAAATCCACCTAAAAACCACCTGAGACCTCCTTACAGACCACCTAAGGCCTGAGATCCCCTTACAAACTAACTGAGACCTCCCTACATACCCCCTGACCTTGGATCCCCCTACAGACCACATGATACCTCCCTGAGAAGTGTTCAACTGGTAACCCACCTCCTGTTAGGTGTACCTGTTCTCCCAGGTGCTTCTTACCTGTGGTTCTGGGTTTGTCACCGTCAGAGGCCAGCCTGTAGTTCCGACGGGCCAGAGCAGTGACTCCTCCCTTCGTGTTCATCCTTTCAGAAAGGATTCAACGACCCGACCCATTCACTGCTGACAGAACAGAACCAACATTATCGTCCAATCAAGGACAGCACGAGGAACACAAACAACTGGATCTGCAGGACCAGTCCTTACTGAGGTTCTGTTTACGTCTGAGACCTCTTAAAGAGCTGAAGTCAGGAATTAGGTCCACCCGAACCTTAGTGCAAAAACTTAAGTATTATTTATACTGTCAGAGCTGTAGTAGTTATACTGTCAGAGCTGTAGTATTTATACTGTCAGAGCTGTAGTATTTATACTGT